GGGCCCCCCCCCCAGCGATCATTATCAAAACAGGTATTTTGAACTCCACCCATCAGAAGTAGTGTCGATTCATTTTTGGGCCTTCCCCCTACGAAAAATTGAAACAAGTAGTTGTGATATAAGTAGCATCTCGAGTATGACACTTAGAGATTAATCCGTAGACTGAAAATATTTGATTATGATTCTCATAAAGCAATGATTAGAAAACCGTTTTTCGTCTGGAAGCCCATAATTTATTGTTTTTGTCTTTTAGTTTCTGTGACAACTACCATTGCTGTGCCTTCCTGTGAGTTGTTTTTATCTATTCGCCTTTCTTCTTTAATTTTGCACTTTTGCATCTACAGCTATTCTTCAAAATTCGTGCACTGCGAGTCTCACCAATCCTGTGGTTGTATTATACCTTTCAAATGTATCACCTACTAGTGGCTATGTCTATTACTCATATTCTTATCAATCAATGGCAAGTTCTATCACCCTAACTATGGCCTTTCGTCAGGACCCATCATATTGGGCTTTGGATGACATATCGGTCACCCTATCAACAGGTGGCCCCAATCTTGTACAGAATCCTGGTTTTGAAACAGGCTCGTTGACTGGCTATTATGCCTTCTGCAATCCAAGCTCGTCGTCTGCATCTGGAAGCGTTTCCTCGGGAAATGCTCACTCAGGTACCTACTGTTATTATGACGGGAGTGTTGGGAACCCAGATTACCTTTCACAGACAATGGCTGCGATTCCAAACAACTATTATACAATTAGCTTCTGGCTGTGGAATCAGGGTGGACCTACAAATTCAGCTACCGTGATCATCAGCGGTTGATACTTAGGTACTATATGTACTGAAGGGCCGCTTGTCATTAGTATTTTTTAAATTTTTTCCTTCTATTGTTTTGCACACATGATCAATGTCAATCTTATTAAAAATATTCATTTTCTCCTTAACTGCTTTTCTTTTATGATATAATACGACACCAGCGACGAGCTTCGATTCTCAGCATCACCATCTTGCGGGTGTGTGTTGTTGATTGGATGAACAACTACACCCACGCCCTCAATAACTACTTGATCATGTTGCGCGCAGCTTCACTTTTACCGGAGAGTTACCCGTTTGAAATGTTTAACATTTGTGATCTAGAGTTGCATAATATGTATCTTATGTAAACAAAAAATCTCTCACGCTAAAAGCTGATCGTGAATACAGTTTCAAAACACTTAAAAGGTTTCGGAATACACCTCTATCTTCTATAGTGCGCAAAGGCGACTTCGATGAAATTACATGAAACTTCACCGAAATTTACTTGCTATGTGTAGTTTCGCTGAAGTGAATAAAAAAGCTTGTTAGCGCAGCCCCTTTGCGGCTAAAATGTGGAACTCACATATATCCGTTAGGCTTATTAAAATAATTCAAAATAGTTCATCTGAAAAATCTATCTTGATTCCCAAAACCTATAATTAGGTCATTACCTATTTGCTTATGTCTGTCAATGAAATATTAATTGTTAGCTCGTATGTTTAACAATGACAGAGACTAGTTTCTATGGTCTGTAATGAGCAAGCATTGCTCTTTTCGTGTAGTCTGTAATTGAAAAAAGAAGAAATAGCAGCATAATTATTCAAGCTCCTAATCAGCACAATTTTAAACTCATTAATATCTGTAATGGGAGGGGGAGGGAGCCGCAAAAATTTCGCTTTTAAACTTACACTCACCGTTATCTTCGAAAATGTATGTGAGTTTCACAAAATAAAGCTGCATTCAGAAATCTTTAAAGGGTTTCGTAATAAAACTATTTTTCTTGGAATGTGAGCTGTCTCTGCGAGAAAAAAGACACCGGCCTCTATCCATTCATGGAAAAAAAGCCTTTTTCTCTCTCAGATTCCTCCTTACTCGATGATCGACGTATATGTAAAATCGAAGCGCGATTATAGGTCATATCATTCACACTTTTAATTGTCTTCGTCTATTACTCTCTCTTCAAGCATAGAAAAGCAATAAAGGGACAATGAAAAATAATAGCCAATTGATGTTTTTGACCGTCTTCTTGGTGTTGATGGCTACAAACCGTATGATACAGAGCGTAGTGACTGAAACTGAAACTAATGACTTTCTCAATCATATAATTAAGAAAAATCAACGTTGTCATCCTTGTACTGGTGGTAATGGTTATTGTCCTCCTGATTATTTTTGTATAGGTTATAGTTGTCCGTATTGTGGCAATTCTTGTAACCCCCATGGCTCTGGTGGTCCTAAGGGTTGCTGTGGTTGTTGTCCTATTTGTACTGGCAGCGACAAATAAAGCCGGTATGTTGTGTCATTATAGTATCTTGTTTCGATGATAACTCATGATAAGAATATCGCTGATGTTTTACTTCATCATTCGTACATTCATTGAGATTATCATCTCAAGTAGTTTGTAGAACTGAAATAATTCATAATTTTTTCTTTCTAGAAAATATGACAGAAATATTCATGAACACGGAAAAATCGACATTTCCATTAAATATTATCACTATTATCGAACATTGTCTACTATTTCGTTTTCTTTTCCCACATTCTCAACTTTTTTTCTTTTTTCTGTATTTGTCACAATTCTCAATTCAAATAAAATATACACACCAAAAATGTACTCTGATCGACTTCTTGAGATAAAAAACGTGTATTTTGCTTCATAAGCACAAAATCCCTCATGCGATTTACTACAAATTTCATTGAAAGTGAAGGCCAGAGTTTTTAGATGATGCCTGTAATAAAATCAAAGCATTCATCAAATAACTGTATAGTATAGTTTGTACTGATTTTTGTTCAAAATTAAATGATAATGAATCCTCACATGTTGCAAGTACAACTCTAGTTTGTGATCACAATATTCTCTTACTTTGTTTTGAAATTCGATTGTACGTACCTCGCAGACGTCATTTAAATTGAACACTTAATTGACACCATCAAACAATACCCACATAGGAAGATCAAAACAAAATAAGGATAACCAAATTATTAGTTTCCAATCAAGAAAAAATGAAATTTTTACTTATAAAACTAATAAATTAATCGACTATCTTGAGGGTGTGGGTGTGGGTATGAGTTGTATAGTATAAATAGGAAAAAAAGAATAATAAAGAAAAGATTCAGATTCAGATTAGGAATCGAAAATAGGAAATTTGTTGATGATTGGTTAAATAGAAACATAAATTTCTATTTTGTGAATTGATTTAAGTTACAGCGGGGCCTCTGTAACACTTTCTATCTCAGTTTTTTTCAATATGCTCATACTAAACACAAAAATGCATGCTTATCTTTCCTCATTTTTGCTGTCATTTTTATCTACACTGCTATACTGTAAAAATCAAACACATCGCTCATGTAAAAATATCGATGATCGAATAAGACTACTTATCAGCCGATATCAAAATGCTTATTTTTTAAATGTGAGTCTGCAAGAGGTATTACTTTGTTTATATAGGCGTTACATTTTTTTTCTTTTTTTTCTAACATAAAAAAAAAATTTTTACCTGAGTCAATGAAGTGTGACTCTAATTTCACTACTTCTTATTTTCGCATATCAAAACATTGTTTCATGTACACCGCAAGTTCACCAAATAAGGGATCCATATTTTCCTTTCGGTTGTGACCAGTGCAAAAAAAACGATGGGCATCTTATTATTTCTTTTCATCAAGTTAGCGCGTGAGTGACTGTATAAAATACCATTAACCAGACCCAGATCGTCACACCGACACTCTAAGAAACCATTTTTGATGAAAAGGTAAAATAGTCAACACCTGTGCGTAGAGTAATAAACCTTTCCGATCAAACAGTAGAACAATCGATCTCTGTACGTAGAATGATAAACCCTTCCAACGACAGAGCGGAAATATCAACCCGTGTACGATAAACAATGAACTTCTTTCAACAAAAAAGAAGTAGAATCAACCATAAACCGACGATGAAACTATCCCTTGAGATGCTAAGGTATACAAGCCGATATTTTTCAGTAGAATAAAAAAAACCTGTCAATGAAGAGGCATAGAATCGAGCATTCACGTACAGTACTAAATCATTTTCATTAAGATGTAGATGAATCAACTGTTGAATGTGAAATACTAAACCCATAGCAGTGTATAACTGACTGCTGCATAATCTAGAAGAAAATAACGGTAGAAAAGTAAAGATGGTAGGATTTTTTCTTGCCTTGCTAAGAAAAACAAATACGGGAGTTGTATAGTATCGTTTTTTCCTCATCTCATCAAGGAAATTACAGAAGAAAATGGAAACGTGGTCGAAAAACAAGAAGGGTGTGGGTCTGTGTGTGTGGGTATGCAAATTGTCTTTACTCACAGACCCACACTCACATCCTAGGTACAATATTGGATAAAAGCATGGTTTGATTGACAATAATGAAAAACAAATCTTCTTCCCATATATTATCAATAAACCAAATTTCCAAAACAGCTGATAGCTTAATCTATTGTACGGCGATGTAGTAATCATACTTCCCTAGTTTCACATTATTTATTAAAATAAAAAAGCATAGTTATAATAACAAGCCTATTCCACTCGTCATTTATCGTTACATCATACAATTAGAACTCACTGAATCGACTACCCATCGTGTAGCAAATGTTATATGTTTGTTCAATTCATCTTGGATAGTGACAGATTTCGATGATTTTTTTCGTTTTTTTGTGCTTTTTCAATGAAAAATGTGTTTTTCTTTTTTTCCCACTTCATAATCGGTAATCACATTACATGTTGAAAGATAACTTTATTTAATTTCATTTTTGTAGTCGATCATATCTATCTTTAAAAGGTCTTCCACTTCTTTGTCATAAATAAATTGTAATAGATACCTATTATATAAAGTGGGAAAAAATCCCAAACATACCGATTTTGGAAGTAAAAAGATAAAGAAGAGCTGTATATAAGAGGATGCTTTTCATTTAGTCTTCCATAGTTTTTCAAAACAAAGACAACATACTCATATCCAGTCGAAGGTAAGAAAATTATCTCATAGCAATCAGTACTTAAAGTAAATGAAAAAACTAGGCTAGGCGATTGTGATAATAAACTTGCGATTACTAGAAATGCGATTGAGAGATGAATTATCTATCTGTTGAAGAAACAAGAGTGAGGGTCAATTAGTTGAAAAGCAGGCTGATTTATCTCTGGAAGAAATAGACAAGGTCAATCTGCTGGTCCCAACTTTTGCTTTTCAGCAATCGACTGTTTGTGAAAAACAATTTCAAGTAGTGTACATAATGTGCTGTGAATTAAGAATAAACACAGAGTTTAACTTAGCCGACGTGTTTCCAATGGAAATCTAAAGCAAAATGTACTGTACACTCTGTATTATATGGGCAAAGTGGACGTGTACATTTTGTTTTCGTTGGCAAAATGTACCAGCGTGTACGAAAACCTAACTTTTCACAATCTAAAAAGCTAAATAAATTGTTAGTTTTTTTCTCTATTCAGTCCATCATAGAATTGAAACGAGGAGATCACACTTTACCATCATTTAAAGATAATGCTTAATTTAATATTACGTGCAGCTTTTAAGGTTCAGATATCAAAGTGTAAAATGTTGTACCGAAGTGTACACTGTACGCTTTGCTTTTCATAAGAAAGTGTACAGTAGAGTGTACATCAAAAGTAGCAGATGATTTGTAGATTTTGCTTCTGCTGTGCGCACTTGCTATTGAAAACACTGCTCAGGGCTTTCCAGAACAATTTTAAGCACAATAAAACAAAAATCAAAAGTACTCAAAAACATGAAAGGAAGGAAAAACGAAGGATAATGATTCATTGAAAAAAAATTTTTTGGAGACAAGGCTTTTTATTATATAATAGTAAATAAAATACAATAAAACGGCTGGAACAGAAAAAGAAAAACAACGAAGAGACGCATGACTATTGTCTTTTGTCTCGAGGTTTGGTCATTGGGTATTGCTTTGTAGGATGTGATGATAATATGTTGTTTGTAGTTGTTGTGAATATCTCGTTAATGGGTCTTCATTGTAACATCGTCTTTTCATATTATACCTGAAAGTGACGATACGAAACAGAAATAGCTGAGTTGAAAAAAAACGAGTCAACAAATAGATTAGGTCATCTTGATACATAATATGGAGAGAAAGGAAGGAAAACGAAAATAGCTGGATGGAAAAAAGAGTCTACAAATAGATTAGGTCATCTTCATACATAATATGGAGAGAAAGGAAAGAAAACAAAAATAGCTGGATGGAAAAGAACGAGTCAGCATATAAGTTGACCCACTTCTCGCTATATATGTGACAAACTCTACGTATGCGAGTCCGTTATACAATTTTCGTACAGAATCGATTAACCCAACGATGGTCTAGTTTCTCGAGGATGATATTAATACATATATAGGAGTGATTTGTACATGAAGAATGGTAACGATAAAAAGGAAAAGAAAGAATTACTATATGTAATCGAGCCAGCCAATAGGTTGACTCCACTTCACATATAATATGACAATACAGAAAAGAAAACAAAAGAACTGACTAGATGAAATCGAATCAGCAAACGTATCGTTTTCTTTCACTTATATATGAAACAAACAGTGTGATGTCATGTTTGTAGTTACTGTTGTGTTCGTGATGCTTGGAGAATGTCTTGTAGTGATCGATGATAAATCATTTCATTGTTTGATGCTGCAGTTGAAGTGGCTCGTTCGAGTAAATTAACTGCATAATCTTTGATTCTTGGAATGTTTGCGATTCGATGGATATAGTTGACGGACGTATAATGTGGTAAACCTAATGCCACTCGAAGTGCTTTGTTTTGGATGATTTGAATACGGTCCCATATTTTGTTATCGGCAGATAGAAGAACTGGATAACCATATATGGTGACTGTTCTTATGAGTGACTTGTATAAGTTTATCATAATGTTGTGGTTCGGTTCAATTGCAGCTCGATTCAGAAAACGAAGTAAACTTAATCGCGCTGCAATTCTTGTTTCGACTTGTTTCAGGTGTGTTCTCCAACTTAATCGATTGTCCATTATCATACCTAAATATCTGGTGGAAGTTGCTGGTTGAATGGTGATGTTTTCAACTTTAGCTTGCACCGGATTTTTGTATTTCTTTCGAGGATGAATGCTGAAATGAACTAATTCGGTCTTGGTTGGTTGCAGCTTTAGTTTCCACGCTTTGCACCATTTTTCAAACTCGTTGATTGATTGTTGAAGTCTATCATTTAAGTTTGTAAGTTGATGCGAAGATGTCCATAAAGCTGTATCGTCGGCGAACAGTCCATGTTCTGTATGTGGTGGTATTCCATTCATCGAGTCAGAAGTATAAATGATGTATAATAATGGAGATAGTGGTGAACCTTGAGGTGTCCCACTACTGAGAGTAAACAAGCGCGATAACGTGTTATCTAGTTCAACAGTAGCAGTTCTATTCTCAAGGAACGATATAAGATATTTGATGATGTAAGTTGGAAGTCGAAGATCATTGAATTTGTAAATCAAGCCTTCATGCCAAACCGAGTCAAAAGCAGCTTTGATGTCGAAGAAGATGGCTGCTGTATGTCTTCTTATTATCGGATGATGCAGTTGACTTTTGATGCAGCGTTCAATACGTACTATGTTATACATAGTACTTTTCTTCGGTCGAAATCCGGCTTGATGTTGTGGTAAGATGTTTCGCGAGTTAAGTTCGAGCAACAGACGTTGTTTGATGATGCCATTGAAAAAATGGGAAGCAAATAATGCATATAACCCTTTTTAAATAAACATCTTTCATATCGTTATCGTAGTTTCATTAAATCCAAGAACTTTTTGTTTATAAAATCTATTTTCATTTTGAATTGCTTTGCTTGTAAACCATCTGACATCTATGTGTCATACGCACATCATGTATTAATTTATTTTGAGGCGGTGAGGGTAGGAGTGATGTTTTAGTACCTGAACTCACCAAACTTTTTCAGTTGTAGTATAATTACGTTTCTCTCTCTTGGCTTATATATCTTCAAAATATTTTCTTTTATATAAATAAGAGCAAAAACGCATTTCGATGTTTAAGCGTGTCATTTATCAAATTGAAATGATTTTGCGAATTTAATTACTCAACCAATATTAGACATTCTTCTCATATTCCCTTTTTTACGATGTCTTTCTGTGTAGATATGAGTGTAAATCGAGATACTTTTGGGGGTAAAATTGGGCACTAAAGTATTGTCGCGAGAATCCGAAGATATAGTACCGCTTTGCTTGATTTTGGATCGTTTTGTCGGCGTGCCTTTTGGTAGATTCCCATTTATCACAAATTGTGGTAGCCTAAATCATTTTCTATATCATGTCCACATTTGTGGACGATTAAACAATTAACGCAGTCCTAGTGACCAAGTCACACCGAAAATCCTCCTCAGTATAACAGCGACTATCGACTTGTCAAGGGCCAAACTTCCTTCCCAATTTTGGAAGGTCGCTGGTTTGAGGAGCATCGTTATAAATATCGATTGACATGCCCAAGTCACTGTTGATAGCCCCCTAACATGAGGTTGATATTGAATCTTAATTGACTGATTTATTGTACATTCAAGTCAACGAAGTTTTAAACTTCCATTCTACCAAATTTTACCAGATATTTTTGTTTTAGGTGTCATCGTCGTGCCCATTGCTAATTGCTATACTTTGCTAAGGATAGCAGCATGATTAAAGATATCAAATTCCAAGTGCTCTTCGAAAGGAAGTTGAATTTATGGATGATATTGATGTGTATAGTATTCTTTGGTAAAGGGAGTGGAGCTCGTCTTCCAGAGATTGGTGTAATTAGCTATTGGGATCTCGAACTATACAATAAGCTTCCACCCAAATCTCTCGCCTTGATTAATCCAGACAACGGAATATTCACTGGTCAAACCAGAAACTTGGCCACTAATTTAAACGCCTATAAAGACATCGTCGCCGAAGCTAGCAAGAAACAAGTACGTCTTTTAGGATATGTGCCGACAGGCTATTTTAACCATAAGTGTAATATCCGTACAAAGTGTCAAACCCTTGGTAGGATCGATGCGCAAGTAAAAGCATATTTTCTTCACTTCCCCAAGCTCAGCGGTATCTTCTTCGATGAAACATCGCTAGATCCATGGGACTGCTCCGCTTTCACCGGTGAATACAAAAGTTTGCGCAGCATTGTGAGGAAATACAATTCAAAGGCAACGATTGCTTTCAATGTAGCAGTACCAGATCGTTGCACTATTGTTGGATTAAAACGTGGTGAAATTATTGTCGTTTTTGAGAACAGCTTTGGCAACTATACAAAAGAAGCAGCTGCAATTAGAAATTTTACTGAAGCTGCACATAACGTTGGGGCTATTGTATGGTGTTTGATTCATAGTGTTTCTGATATTCGCTCATTGCAATCAACAATTAACACTGCGAGCAATATGAATATCGATTTGTTTTATGCAACCGATATTGAAGGGAATTTGAAACCTAATATTACATGGAATTCCCCACCAACCTATTGGGATACCCAAGTGGAATTACTGAATCCGAAGCGAAAAGGATAAAAAGATTTCTAAGAAGATAAACCTTCTAATAATTATAGTATTTTATTATTTGCAAACATATATTTCTTATCTAATAAAATACTCAATTGAAAAGACATTCAATCGCATTCAGTGCCGCCTTGTTGGTGGCCTCAAATGGTTAGGTGCATCGTCAAGATGAAGGGAGTAAATACATACTGCAGAGATTATTACCTGTCTATTGACACTATGTTCAGCAAAGTCTCGAAAATCATAGTTTAGCTAGTAAATTGGTGAGGGTGAGTATTGAGCCTCGAAATGTCAAGACTTTAAAGATTTCTTTATCCTCGAAAAGATCATTCCTCAGTTGGCGTTTGAATCTTAGTCGTATTTGTTTTACACGATTCATTTCTATGAAAAAAGAGAAAGAATCACAAACGAAATACATTTATCTTTCAAAAGTTCTAAATTAAACATCATAAAGATGTATTTAAAAAAACAATAGATATCGCACTATAATCAATGAAATTAATTTCGGACAATGCGATGGTTTAGATGAACTAATATAGTCTAAAATAGAAAGAAAGGGAAAATTAGCTTATATTTGTTTAATTGAAGTAACTTATTTGCTTTTGAGTGCTATTCGTCGTGTTGTTAATTGTTTTGATAATGCGGGTGATGGATATGTCGAAGAAAAGTTATGTCTTTATCTAGAATTGTATGATACACTTGTAATTTTTTTTCAAATTCTATAAATTAGAAAATCAATCTCAAATAAGCTGAAGCATTTTTAAAGCTTTATGATTTATTCATTGAATTTTGAACAATTTGAAAATGCTTGATTTCCCCATTTATAGAAATTCAATTTGAATTTCAAAAGTAATCATTTTCTATAAAGTGGAAAATCCACAATAAATTTCAGACTATTTGAAAATCAGTTCTGATTTCATAGAAAATCGATTGAGAATTTTTAAAGACGAAAAAATTGATTCTATTTCTTGCAAGATTGTCGAAACAAAGACCGTCACTTAGTCATTGTCCTATCTTAGGATATAAGTCAGTAGGTATAATGTTAAACATTCATTATTTTCTTCAACTCGTTATTAGGAGTTATTAAATCTTTTTTTCATTTTATTTTGTTTTTTGTTTCCATCATCAAGTATAATTAATGCTTCATGACGACGAGAAAATCAAAATTCGATTTTCCTGTTTTTAGAATATATTCCAATTGCTATATCGGATCCAAAATTCTAGGAATGCCCATATGAATTCACTCTCGATTTTCCAATTAGAAAATCGGAGTTCATATTTTTAATGTTTTGAATATCTTATTTTCAAGACAGTAGAAATTCATCACTGAATTCATATAGGCATTCTATTTTTTACAGTGTATTAGAAAATTTAAAATAGGCTATGCGCATTGAAATACAGTTTTTAATCTAAAGCTATTTAATAGACTCTGTTTTTGGTTTTCGCATCAGGGGCAGATATATACAAATTCTTTCCAGTTTCAACTCTTAAACACGCTACGTAAAGGTGGCCGTACGAATAGCAAAGAGTCTCCAGGTCAATGCTAGCAGCCTTATAAGCGACTGTACGTGAACTTTCTTGATGGATATTGCAAAGACAAGACGTACTGAAAATTGCAAACGTTTGAATTAAAAAAGCATACTAGTAGGCATGATGGGTATCCGTGGTATGAATACATCCACCCCATTTGTGCAGTCTATCAAGATGATTACTTCAATAATATGAGGCATCAGATTTTTAACACATCGTGTGGGTGTGGAGGAAAGTGAAATATGCAAGAAGGGAAAAACTCATTCCGAGCCATTCCAATGAATAGGAATGGATCGGAATGCCAGGGAATACCTGAATGAGTTTTTTGCCCCTTGTTGACACCCATAGCCACACCCACAACCATATTCCCACCCAACAGGAACTATTTTGCCCGATGAACCCTATTAAAAATTTCACCACTTGATACAACGTGAAGTTCTGCATCTAGCACAATCAAAGAGAGATTTAGTACAGACATGTAAGCGAATCCGGACAAGAGATATTGCCAAAAACATGGCTTTTTATTAGTAATTGATCCGAAACTTTTCATTTTTGCTGGAACAGCCTTTCTGAAATTTATTCCATCTGATAGAGAATAAAATTCTATAATCAGCACAACCGACTATAGAATTGTCACAGGTCTATAGGCGAATCGGGGCAGAAAATATTCGAATCTGGCGGTGTGGGTGGGGTCTTCTATAAATTTACAACCACATTCATTATCTTCTAACGATTTATTTGACTCGTTATTATTATTATCGTTGTAAGGATGAGGATGTGGGTGCATTGCGGTGTCGGTGATTTCCCTGAGTTCATTAAGACTAGCACTCCACACCTAGGGGCGCGACCAGAAAAAAATTGCAGGAGGAGGGCTAAACTTATTTTTTCTAGGGGGCTAAGGGCTCTGTATGGAGGCTGAGTCCCCCACCCCTAGACCCCTTCTGGCTACGTCGCTACCCATACCCTCAAGAAGATCAGCGTATTCGATAATTCTATACAAAATATAAACTGGATTAATTTATAATTGTGTTATTTACCTGCCATTTAATATATCCTAATTAATGATGAAAAAAATTATTACACTATTTTGAGTTTCAAAGAACATTAAGAAAATGTATAGTAAAAAACTGAAATATAAAAATAATTAGATGATCAATATCATCTGATCATCTTACTATCCTATTCATCATCGTTTTCTAGAATACTTTTTCTTTTCTTTTTTATTCACGGAACAATCCGAGCAAGATGATCATCGAGTTTCTTTTGTTCCTTCGGTCGACTATAAGAGAAAGATCATATATTGGCTATCTATCTGGAGAATCAGCATACATTCGCATTTGTTCATTTGTATTTATTTTATAGATTCGCTCGAATATCCAATTGGTATTTAACATAGATGTAAGTAACTGCTAATATTTCAAATAATGTGCTAGTATAGTTTTATTTTATTGCAGAAAGAACGGGAGAGATGAATATAATTAAGCCAATGATAAGCACTGTTGATTCGTCCATATGCAACTGAAAAGATCAGTAAAAAATTCGATACACTGTTGATCGCTAAAAGCTTTCTCTTGAAAGTTCCGAAGCATACGAAATAGTTGTATAGCTTTTATAATTCAATCTTATGGAAATCATAAATGATTGAACAATATACCATTGTGTTTTGGTATTATTTTTCCTCACTAGTATTATTGTGTGACTATGTTTTTTGAATTCTACTATTTTAGATAATAAATGTACTGAAATAACTTCAATATTTTGTCCGATTTCAGTATCCTATATGGAGCAAAGAGCTTTTACTGTATTAACTATTCAGTATAATATAGATAATTTTTATAAGAAAACAATTGGTCTGGCAGAATTTGTTACATTGATCAACAAACGATATTGAACTAGTCTAAATTAATTTGGTTTGTTTACGGATAAAAGTTGTCCGTTCGTTTTAAAGAATACTCTCATACTTTCAAGTTTCCTAGAATAAGCAATCAATATTATTTAAAATATTGAGAATACCTTTTTTGGTAAATTTGTTCCACAAACTATGCTAAGGGTCGTGTTCGAACTTTCTTTCGCAAATAATTTTCTATGGGAATTGAATTTAGTGACAATTAGTTTTTTTTAGTGAAATAAACATGACAACAATTCAATCAATACCTGTTCGACCACAACAGCAACAACAAAACATTCATCAAAGATAAACTGTCCTGCTTTATATTGTTATAATCACTTTGAGTATGTATCATCGTGGAAATCCTCATAGAAAACGAACCTATTGATCACGAAGAAAACAGTTTCTATTAAAATTTGCGTAATATAGATAATTTGTCTATGATTGAAAACATCATACTTATACAAAGAATATCTTGAGTTCATGATATCTATGTGAATATAATCAAAACATGTGTAAATATGTATTATTTCAAATTGGCAAGTTGACCATGTTTTGAAACACGATCTAAAAGGAATACTGAATTAAATAGTGATAGAACGTATAGAACCCTCCCGCTCAACAGCCACGATACGTACTCAATTCAATTACCTAATTAATATCTAATAGATCTCTGAGAAATAATTAATAAAAAGAATGCTGAACGATACAGAGAAAAAATGAAACATCCCGTCTTGATCAGAGACCGTTGTTTATATAAGCTCACAGTTTATATCTCAATAGAAATCTTTTTTTAAATATATTAATGGCTTCCTTCTAGTATTTTTGAATGATGAAACGAACGAAAGAAAGGCAAAGAACTATCTCAGAACGCATCGAGTAGAACAATATTGATATAATTAGGGCACAAATAAATCATGTTCCCTATCCTAATCCAAGAGAAATCACAACAACAGTTTTTTCATTGATTCTTCAGATTATCCAATTAATATACTTGACTATATTCGAATGATTAATAAACTATACTGATTTACATGCCATCTTTAGAAATATACTGTTGTGTCTGTTAGAGAAATTAATTAACAATTTCAGATTATTTTGATCGACGAAAGCATATCGCTGTGGGGAAAGACTTTATTTGTATTTTCTTAATAGAAGCGAAAATGCACTAAACGTTGATGATGTTATTCGTTTCGATATTAGTGAGATGGAAGATTGCATGTATCGTGAGTAAGGAAAATTTTATATATAAAGAAAAAAAGACAGCGAAAGAAATTATTTAAGCACAAGAATGATATATTAGTATAAAAAAGAAATAGAGCAGCGAAGGTAATAGAACGATGCATTGAACTCACTAGCTAGCAGCCCATAAAAACAAAGTTAAAACTAGCCTTTGATCTGTCACTAACATATTTATTTTTAAATGATCAATGCCTTTAAGAGAGATTCTTCTTCGAAAATTTATTTCTTGATTTTATTTTAGATTGAAAACGAGAACTAGCCGTTTATTCACCTGATTAGCTCGATTAGGAGTTGTGCATTTTGTGACATGATTAGCATGTATTTTTGTTTGGTCAACTGTGATATGCCACCC